AAGAAAGAGGGAATAAATAATGTACACTGCATTGAAACAGATGAGGGAGAGAACTGTTTAAAAGGGATATATGATTAGGTATTATTGTCATGACAGGAGTTCAGAATGAAGGCTGCATAGTGGGGGGACTTGAGGGGAAGGATTGTATAACAATGAAAGAATTTTTCTTTTACTTTTCAAAGAGAAAATCTAACTGTAGGGGAGGGATGGGCAGGGAGAAAAGTGCAACAATGAATGGATGGAGATCTAAAGTCTCTGTAAACTTTCATTAAAATTAATAATATTAGAAAAAAAAACCCAACCCTCAAGTCAAAAAACTAAAGACATACCTTAAGGAGAACAAGGACAATCATGAGGTGGTGCAAACAGTTAAACATTAAACTAGGTTTACAATCTGAGGTGCTGAGATGACGAGTTTGGTGATTTACTTTTGAAAGATCACAGCTTTGAAAAGCCTTGAGTTACAGTTGCATCCAGATGCACAAGGGGTTGCTATGGTTTGGAATCAATTCCGAGGTAACTGACAACACCTTAAGGAAGTAGCAAACTAAACCCAAAGCTAGCAAAATGGAGGAACTATAGATTACAAAGTAGATGAACAAAATCCAGGGCAGGTTGAGAACTGATAAGGAATCTTTTCTCCACGACAGGTTTGTTGTGCGTCATGCCTCATATCTTCTAGTTAAGAATTTTTAAGATAATTAGAATTATTCCTGCTTCCTGATAGCCTCTCACCCAGAAATGAGCATCTCTTTCTTTCTTCCTTTCTTTCTTCCTTCCTTCCTTCCTTCCTTCCTTCCTTCCTTCCTTCCTTTCTTTCTTTCTTTTTTTATTTTTTATAGAGCACCTCTTCATTGAACCTTTCTCAAAACCGGTGATAAGCCCAAATCCTATAATAAATACTTTCTAACTGCTCAGATTTGGAGGACAGCTGCTTGGCCAACTGACTGAAAGAAATCCATATTTGATCCTATTCCCAAGAAGGGTGATCCAAACGGAATGTGTAAATTATCAAACAATATCCTTAATATTATTCTATTTCTTCCTTAACAATATCTAATTTTCCTACATTCATGGTTCTCACATTCCAT